AATGTTAAAAATCAGTTGCATTTCTTTACACTAATGATGGATCAACAGAAAAAGAAAGTAAAGAAACAATCCCCTTTAAAATAGCACCCAAAGTAATAAAATATCTGGGAATAAATCCAACCAAGGAGGTGAAAGAGTTATACACAGTAAACTATAAACCATTGATGAAGGAAATTAAAGAAGACTTTAAAAAATGGAAAGATATTCCATGCTCTTGGATTGGAAGAATCAATATTGTTAAAATGGTCACACTGCCCAAGGCAATCTACAGATTTAATGCAATCCCTATCCATTTACCCAGAACATATTTCACAGAACTAGAACAAATCATAATAAAATTTATATGGAACCGTCAAAGACCTAGAATTGCCAAAACATTGCTGAAGAGAAAGAATGAGTCTGGAGGAATAACTTTCCCAGTCTTCAGACAGTACTATAGAGCTACAGTCATCAAGACAGCATGGTATTGGTACAAAAACAGACATATAGACCAATGGAACAGAACATAGAGCCCAGAAAAGAACCCACAACATTTTGGTCAACTAATCTTTGAGAAAGGAGGCAAGAATGTACAATGGAATAAAGACAGTCTCTTCAAGCAGATGGTGTTCTGAAAACTGGACAGCAGCATGTAAAACAATGAAGCTAGAACACTCCCTTACACCATTCACAAAAATCAACTCAAAATGAATCAAAGACTTAAACATAAGACAAGATACATTAAACCTCCTAGAGGAAAACATAGGCAAAACATTATCTGACATACGTTTCAAAAATTTTCTCCTTGTCGAAATTAAAGCAAGAATAAACAAATGGGACCTAATGAAACTTTCAATCTTCTGCACAGCAAAGGAAACCATAAGTAAAACAAGAAGACAACCGGTGGAATGGGAGAAAATTTCTGCAAATGAAACCGACAAAGGCTTGATCTCCAGAATATATAAGCAGCACATATGACTCAATAAGAAAAAAATAAACAACCCATTCCAAAAATGGGCAGAAGACCCAAACAAGCAAATCCACAAAGAAGACATACAAATGATCAAAAGGCACATGAAAAAATGCTCAATATCACTAATTATCAGAGAAATGCAAATCAAAATTACAATGCGGTATCACCTCACACCAGTCAGAATGGCCGTCATTCAAAAATCCACAAATGACAAATGCTGGAGAGGCTGTGGGGAAAGGTGAACCCTCCTACACTGCTGGTGGGAATGCAGTTTGGTGCAGCCACTATGGAAAACAGTGTGGAGATTCCTCAAAAGACTAGGATTAGACTTACCATGTGACCCAGGAATCCCACTCCTGGGCTTGTATCCAGAAGGAACCCTGCTTCAGAATGACACCTGCACCCCAATGTTCATAGCAGCACTATTTACAATAGCCGAGACATGGAACAGCCTAAATGTACATCAACAGGTGAGTGGATAATGAAGTGGTGCTATATTTATACAATGGAATACTACTCAGCCATAAAACCGACAACATAATGCCATTTGCAGCAACATGGATGCTCCTGAAGAATGTCATTCTAAGTGAAGTAAGCCAGAAAGAGAAAGAAAAATACCGTTTTAGAGCCCTCATATGTGGAATCTAAAAAATAAACAAACAAAGTAACAAAATCAAAGTGTAAATTCAGGACAGAAATAGACTCATAGCAGAGAATAGAGACTTTTGGTTTCCCGGGGGGCGGAGGGTGGGAAGGGATAGACTGGGATTTGAAAATTGTAGAATAGAGAAACAAGATTATACTGCATAATAGCACAGGGAAATATTCACAAAGCATTATGTTAGCTCACAGAGAAAAATATGTGACAATGAATTTGTATATGTCCATGTATGACTGAAAAATTGTGCTGAACACTGGAATTGGACATGACATTGTAAAATGATTATAAGTCAATAAATAATGTTAGAAATAAAGAAATTAGGGAACAGAGTACGCTGACCCAGGACTTCTACTTCCTTGCAACTCTCATTCTAAAGTTGTTCTCTGTTCACCTTTGTTTCTCCATTTAGAATAATAGAAAATGTTTTTAGTTAGAAAAAAAATTCACTATCAGCAGAATTTTACTATGTACTGTTCTGGTCCTAGCACTGAAACATTGAATCTCCTTACCTGCTAACTTCAAGTTTGACGGGTTAGAGTCCTTTTGCATTCACTCTCAGAAGCAAGCTCCAAGTCTTCAGTAAATCAAATCTACTTGTCCCTTGGAAAGTTAATCGTCGTTGGTGAGCTGTACAGTGAATCTGAATACCCTGGAGGGTCCCTAAAGTACATGCCATTCACAGCGTGCCTGCTTTTTAGCAAGCTTCTTTGAAAAGATGAGTTGTTGCAATTTTTAAGAGGAGAGAGGGCAGGGCACTTATGCTTGCCAATGTATACAGATTCTTCTTCCTCTTTCAGATTAGTCCTCAAACTGTTTAAAGCACGCCTCAGTTCAGAGTTCAAAGTGGGGGAGCGGAAGGCAGAGGGAGGGAGGAAGAATAGAAACTGGAGACTTATAGGTTTTTGTGTGTATAAATGGACTTTTAACACTATTTCCAGCAGTGGAACCCTCAGGAAATCCCACAGCTGCTGAGATGGGAAGCAGGAAGGAGTATACTTCGTGTAGTTTACTTCTCTCTGATTTTTATGATTTGAAAGTGGTTAGACTATTTGTAGGCGGAGAAAGATAATCCTACCAGTATATGCTAATCTAACTGCCATTATGTGGAACTTGATCTTAGGCAAGATAAATTTTACATCTCTCTCTCTCTCTCAATCTCTGATACTTGTGGTTCTATCCTCATTCTAAGAAGCCTTTTCCTTTCTAGTGCCTTATCTCCTGAAAAATAATTTATTAGTTTGAGTTTGGTTTCCCTAAATCCCCACAGCAATAAATTACCTTCTTTGGGTTAAAAGCATTTTTTTTCTCCTGTCACACTGAGAATGGTCTAGAATGACTGGGTTTACTGTCAATGGTCCTCTGTTAGTAATTTAGAAGCCAGGTAAACGCTCTTGAGTTTTGGCTGGTCTCTAGGGTGCTGGGGCTTTGGGATGCTCTGTCTGACTTCTAGAGACTAAGGACATGACAGTCTGTTACATGCTGTTTGGAACTTGGGGCAGCCCCTTGATGTTATAAACCAAAGGGATAATGATACCCTGATGTGGATTGGTTACATCAATTATATTGAGCTATATTAAGATGGTTCATATGTGGATGGACATAAATATGTTCATACTAACACTTTTTAAACATAAACCTGTAACTGATAACCAATTTGGTAGCCTCAGTAAAACATGAGCCCAGCAACAGCCCTCTGGCCCGCTACCTGCTGCAGGAACAAGGCCATTTACTCAAATTTTGCATCTGTAGGTACCAGAATTATCTCACAGCCAATCTGGGGTCAGGGCTCTAAGCCTTCTGAAATCTTCATCATCTTTCATAAAATTCTTGACTGTGGTAGTGGTTGGAGGAAAAAGCCATTCAACCAAATTAAAGAGAAAGATAACATTTGGATCCCAGATCAGATTATTTAATTCTTCCCTTGGAAGTTTAACTAACTTAAGTAATATTATAACTAGAATTTCTTCAACTGAGCTTAAATTCGCCAGAGATCTAGGGGAAAGTTCATAAGGCAGACAGGATGAATTATTACTTCCCTTCCAGTCTAGACTGTTAAAACCATTTTGAGCTATGGTGGAAGGGTAGTGCATACTAAGGTAAGGAAGAAAAGAGAAAGTGGCTAAATCTTTGAGTTTCAAGATGGCATCACAACCGCTGTGATAAAGAGGGGATGCCCTGTGGTGCTTCCATGTCCGCTTCTACTCATTTCTTTCCTTAGCTGTTTCTCTGCTTCCTGGATAGGAAAGGCAGTGCTCAACCCATCCCCAATTGTGACTTTGCCTTGTACAGTTGCATCAATTTATGCCATGTTTGTTATAATTGACAGCAGATTCCTTATCTTCTTTCCTCACCCTTCTATCCTTTCTTTTGCTTTCTCTGTCTTTATGTATGTATGTCTTTTACATACTTTCCCTCACATTTTCTGTCATTTCAGGAAATGATGAAGTGTCAGACTGATATCTCTTTGCTGCCCTTTCTCTACTCTTTCTATTTTCCCCAGAATTTTTAAATTCTTTATTACTGGGATGAAGAGGACCAAGAAGGGGATGATGAGGGAGAGGGTGAATAGCCTGTATTTGGATGGGGACTCCATCTTAATGAGTAGGACTTGGGTTGAAGGTTAAAGGATTTTCAGTCATCCAACATTCACTTATTAACTATGAGCCACAGGATTCGTAGCTTATGTGGACTTACAGAGCTGAAAAGTCTTTGAAAAATCACTTTGTTTAGACTTTTTATTAAGTTGAGTTGCTGAGGATATGACAGGTTTGATTAATCATTATTTCCCCAGCTGTTAACTCATTGCCTTGTTTGGTTGTCAAATAAATCTAGTCCAACTCTTTCATATTACAGATGAAGTACTGAGGTCATAGAGGAAGAGAGTTTCTCAAGATATATTTGTTTCATCACAAAATCAAGAGGAATAATTTTTTTCCTTCCAGAACCAAAATTGTTCCACAGTCAATACTAGTGGGCACAATGAAAAGGTAGATAAAGAGTGTTACTATACTCATAGATTAGTTCTATACACACATATACATTAACTGACAGTTTAGCTGTGGAAATATTGTCACCACTTTCCCTCTTCTTGCCCTGGGGCCTACCCCATGGGTATAAAGCAATCATGGATTGTCATTTCTGGTGAGGCCAGGGCACACTAAGTGAAAATTCTGGATGAGCTTGAATTAATCCTGTAGAACAGAATACCTAGGAGAGATGGTACAGATCATTTAAGCCAGCATCTCTACATTATTCTGTGCTGTCCAATGCAGTAATCACTAGCCGTGTGTGGTTATTTAAACTTAAATGTAGCTAAATGTAACCAGGTCAAATTAAATTAAAATAAAAATTCTGTCCTTCAATCACAGTAGCTACATTTCAGATGCTCAATAGCCACATGTTGGACAGTGGCTACAGCATTGAATGGCACAGATTTAGCATAGATTTTACAATTATTACCTAGCTCGGGGTAGAGAGTGTCATTAGTACAAAGTCATATAATTATTTGCCAAATTTGGGAAAAGAAGCCAAGTTTCCAGATTCCCAATGGAGAGTAAGCAGATTTATTTTCACTCCCTTTGTATTTATTTCTATCTCAGTATGGGTCTATAGGCATGATTGAGGCACATTGACTGAGTGTAATTTTATGTGTGGGCTTTGAGGTTTCAGGAGGAGGGCAACTGGTTAGCATGGATGAGGGAGCTCGTTTGCATGGATTCGTACAGTTCTTGCCTTTCTCTCTGACAGGATCAAAAGAAATAACATGCGCAAAGATGCTGTGAAAAAGGGGAAAATGTTATACAAATAGAAGCTATAGTAATGATGATAAACTCCAGCTTTATGTCCTCCTACTTAGTGTGTGCCCCTGAGTCCAGCTGTAGATAGGTTTGGGTGGGCAAACGGCCTGGATTGGTGGGTCATTTTGGCAACGAAGTGAGAGACAGCCTGCTGCGTGCCTATGATAAAGGAACCTCCTAATATCCAGCAAACCTAGGAACTGGGGCTGTTTGGACTTGCCCCACCTCAGCTTTTGCTTTAAGAGAGGATCAGTAATGGACGAATTAGACAGAGACTTTCAATGAGAACTAGGCCTTTCCTTAGTTGAAGGGATTGTATAAACACTTAAAAGTGTGTCAAGTTTAGGTTTTTCCAAGGAAAATGAAAGAAAAATTTGAGTTAATCACTATACTATAAATTCCCGGTGAAAGTGTTGCTATAACTGGAGAATAGTGTACTAAGAATTATTTTAAGAGTGTCTCAGAAGTCCGCAGCTCCTCAAAGCTCTTACTACTCCAAACTTGCTAGCATAGCCTGAAATACCTTTAAGTGTAGTTCATGGTGAGTGTCCTCTTTCAGATGCCATAAAATTCAGGTCCACTCAGAAGTGACTCAAGAACTGACTCTCATAAGGAGTGGTCATACACAATGAATTGGGAATCTTAGTGTTCTTATTAGAAAAAATGATGATAGTAATATCAGCTCTGCTTATTTCACAGCATTTGAAAATCAAATAAAATGAGAGCCACAAAAAGGCTTAAAACTATAAGGTAATATGCAGATAAAATTATTTCATCATTTGTTTCTCCATCCTCTTCTACACAGTGCTATTTCTCACTCAAAATGTTGCATGAGTGCTTATAAATACAATTTTTTGATAGAGAAATGTGGGTAACTTTGAGACGATTTGGAAAACTGTAGGTTATGATCCTAGTGCAGGGAATTGCTGGCATTGAGGATCTAGTTGCAAAGGCCTATTTTTATGTCTGGAGTTCAGTTTGCTACAATGACAGCATTTGCCATGCATATTTGTACGTGGCTGCTGTGGTATCAGCTAATGAAGTGCTATTTGTAAAACTGCCACAGCCACTGAAGCTGTCTGTGGGAAAACATTCATCTGACTTGAAAATGGAGTCCTAAAACCTGGGTTTATTAGGGCTCCATCACTTCTGATGTGATCTAGGAGAGAGCAAGTCACTTGAATTTTCTAAGCCTCTGTTCTCCCCATTTGTAATTAATAATAGTAAAGGGTTAATAATCCCCACTGTCGCTTAACTGGGAATCAGAGTGAGCTAATACATATGAAAGTGCTTGTGAACTTTAAATAGCTGTACAAACAACCTCATAGCTATTTCCTAGTATTAGGGGAAATCCCCAAGGGACATATGCAGAAGCTGTTTGGCATATTTTCTTTATCTCAGCAGGGACCAAACAGCTCGCTAGCCAAGAAGGGAAATTGTTTTAAACATTTAATTTTGGGGCCTAGCCTTTAACTTGCTTTACCTCTCTTACCAAGACAACTTCACTTTGAAAAAACACAAGCAAAACTAGATTTGGGCAAAGATTTTGAAGCAAATAAAGCATGTTTTCAATTACTTCCCCTTTTTTTCCCTTGCAGTACCCTCCCTAGAGAGAGTAGAGCATAGTGGAAGAAACTACATTCTGAGAGGTTATATGCACTAGTGGTTAATAGTGTAAACCCTGGAGGTGGACAGATCTGGGGTGAATCTTGGTTCCACCATTTACTAGTTGCGATCATGGATAAGTTATCTAAACTCCTGTATCCTTAGATTCCTGTCTGTAAAATGGGGTCAATAATTACACTACTTTATGGAGTTGTTATGAGGCTTAAGGCAATAGTGCCTGACACAAATTATGTTTCCAATAAATATAGCTTTATTTTTATTCACATTATTGTTTTGTTCACTCAGAGTTATTTATAAAGTTACCAGCCAGGCATTTGACTCTGTCCCAAAGGATGACTTCTAGTTTGGAGCATTAAGAACTTAGCTTTGCTGGTTTGGTGGTTTGTATAAGTGAGCCCTCAGACAATATTGGGCACACATTCAAATATAAAATAGAATCTTGGTTTTTAAAGAAATGATATTTCTACAGGCTTCCCAACTTACATTTTCAGGTGATTTTTCTTTTACTTTTGCTTACTGGTTATCAGAAGTGCTTTACTTAGTACTGATTTATCTCCTAATAAATATGTTAATTTCTGTTGTGCCCAGAGGTCACTG